TGCAATGCATGCGATATGTAATTAATAGGCTCGGCTACTAATATAGCATCTGAAGCAATTTCATAACATGCAGTCTAAGCACGTATTCAAAGAAGTATTAAACGAACAATGCAGTTAGAATGATGAACCAAGCCTCAGTGCATGTAATACAAATGGATGCAAACATGGAGTACGCTAAACAAAACATGATGTCCCTGAATTAACCATCATAAGCTAGTAAATAAAATGGAGAAAGATGTGGGGTTGGAAGACATACACATTATTATATTGCTCTCTCACGAAGGACAGACCGAATGAACTAACTAGCTAATTAATTAAAGCTAAGCTAATTATTACAAAACCAAATGAAATTAGCCAAACCACTTAACTAATTATTACAAACCGAATCAATTAACTCGCTATTCTAGCTAATCAAATTACTGCACTTTACAAAATTAACTAGTTACAACTTATTAATTACAGTAAATATTTAATCTAAATATTTAAACTTAAACAAGCTCAGCATGCGAGGAATGCTCATGCCCATGCTCGGTTTCTACCCAAAAAGCCACTGTTTTGCTTACGAAGAGCCTCTGTTGCACAATAGGACACATGCACCGTTGCCCACTTCCAGAATAACTCTGCTTTGCCTCAAAAACACACTGCTGAATTTTGCATCAGTGGCCGGCCGGCCAGTGATGACGCCTGCTGGCCACCAGTGATAGACGGCCGGCCATCAAAGGTGGCCTGTCGGCCATAGAGAGTGGCATGCCGGCCACTGTTGCCTAGTTCACCTTGCTGCAACAGAGGACAAATAAAGCATGCACGGGGTATTTTCAAGAATTTGTTTGCACAACTCACCCCTCCTTTTCATGAACAAATCAAAGGAGTAGTAAACTTGGTCCACAAACCATCAACTCAAGCAATTTCATTGCATGATAGCTCATGAACCAAAGTGTGCAAGTTCAATAAATGCAATGAAATGAGACTCTCATAGCCACCTCCCTATCATGGAAGATCAAGGGAAGTGGTGACCTTGGAAACTTGAATCATTTCATCACTAGTAAGTATGAAATGGCCCAAGTTCCATGTGTTCAATTAATGTCTGATTGAACACAACACTTTTTATTAGCTTGCACCTTTTTACCCTCAATTTTATTACTTCATTTTAGATTACCAACCATTCTTTAATGGATCGAGTCCAAAGGGTGAGTTTAAGTCCTCTAATGGAAAGAGAGCTCAAACCAAGAGTTGTCTTAGGCATGAAAGAGACATCATACCATTGGTAATGAACCCCCTAAGGGATTAAACCATTAAACATGACACCTCAATCTCATGCTTTAGACAAACAAGTTGTTTGAACCACTTTCAAAGCAAAACAAAAGCCAAGAAAGGAGGGAGTTTGTAGAGATGATTAAATGTGATTACAAGTATGGAAAACCATAAATAAATGCAATCAACTCAAAGAAGATGGTGTCTAAGGCCTAGAATACCAAACTCGTGAGGACTATTACACTATAAGCTTGCAAAACAAAGCTCAAATGCAACTATCAACCAAAAACGGTGCTAAAATAGATCTAACACAGTCCTAAAACATGCTAGAATTCAACTAAAAAATGCTAGATTAATATGCTACAGTCGCTTCTTGAGAAAAAAAACATGCTAGAATTCAACTAAAAAATGCTAGATTAATATGCTACAGTCGCTTCTTGAGAAAAAAAGTTTCTGGCAAGCATACATGCAGACTGGTCGGGTGACTTCTTCATTCTCATCTTTCTTTTTGCCTTTTAATGCCTCGGTCAAAGGGGTGTGTATCCATTTTGAAGTCAATCGGATGACATTTTTGTACCTTTTGTTTATAATGCCAGTCTTTGGTTTTGCACCATATGATATCTCCATTGGTTTGGTGCCACAGTCCACACCAAAAATTAGCTTAATGTTGCTGTCGTATATGTTCATCTTCTTCTCCCCAATGTAGAAGGCATCTTTTGAAGCCTTGTACATTTGTAGGACATGCACAACAGCGTCATCGTACTTCATGCATTTGTAAAGGTCGATCTCACTGTTTCTCAATGCATCTAATAAATACCAAAAAGGTGTTTGTCGCAGGCAGCCGAGTTGTGCTTGTGTGAATTATATGCTTTTCATTAATTTCACCAGTCTGGTCATGTTAGATCAGTAGTTAGCACGCCGTATGTCAACATTGCTGTTAGTATTTTCATGTGGGCTTTCTTTCTTGACATGGTACTCATCTCTTTTTCGCTTTAAGGTTTCCTTCTGTGCAATATCTGCAAAATAGAGCATAAAGAAAATTAAGACAAGGCTCATGTGATTAGCATAGTGGCACAGATGTGAACATTCACAGCATTGGCATAGGTGTGAATGTTCACAGTTGTGTGCATGGGTGTGAATATCCACATCTGTCTATGGATGTAGATGTTCACTGTGTCAGCAAAAACACAATGTGCATAGTGTGTGTGTGTGTGTGTGTGTGTGTGTGTGTGTGTAAAAATCAATGTATGTTTATAATTGTGTTGTGAACATTCACAGTTCTAATTTGGATGACAATGCACACACTACGGTTAGCAACAACAATTTGATTGGCCAAACATTTTCAATCCATGTGAATGTTCACAGCTTTCAACAACTACAACAATAACATCTGAAACAATTTGATTGGCACAACATTTTTTAATCCATGTGAATATTCACAGCTTTCAACAACAACAACAATAACATCTCAAACAATTTGATTGGCACAACATTTTTCAATCCATGTGAATGTTCACATCTTTCAACAATAACTTAAACAATTTGCTTGCCCAACAAATTTCAATTTCATGTGAATGTTCACATCTTTCAATAACAACAATAGCAACAACTGAAACGACAACAACAACAACTGAAACAATTTGCTTGCCCAACAATTTTCAATTTCATATGAATGTTCATATCTTTCAACAACAACAACAACTGAAACAATTTTCTTTGTCCAACATTCTTTCAATCGATTTGAATGTTCACAGATTTGAACAAAACATAATGGCAACTGTAATGTTTTTTGGTAAAAAAACCCATATAATTGGGGATTGGGATTGAGGGGTTCAGATTAATGATTAGGCCATGAACAATAACAACGTGAAGTTCCTTATATTGTATGAATAGAAATAAGGGATATTTGTGAAAGTTCACAATGTGGTTTGTTAAAGAAGAGATTTAGGGTTTACATACAGGAATGATTGGAGTACTTACGTTTTTTGCCCATTTCGACAGTTGCGCTGTTACAAATGGTCGTCGAAGGTGATTTCGATGAAGATGGAACTTACGAATGTTCAACAATGGTAATTTGTACAATTTTGACGACCAACGGCATAGGGATGACGAAGAAGACGATGCGATGATGGGACGGTGAGAGTCTTCTAGGCGTTGAGATGATATGGAATACAATTTTGGATTTTTGGAATGGTAGAGATACTGTGCGTGATTTTCTGCAAGAAGAGACGGGAAGAGAGATGGTTATTTGATCCAAAGGATATGCACGTGTTTGTTTGAGGTTTTTCAGTCTTTTAGTATGAAACGAGACCTAAGGAAATATTACAAAACACTATGGGTCTTATGGAATAGGACTCTTAGAGAGTGGATTTATTTTAAAAGTGACCTAAAAAAAACTAATATGTTTGGGATGACTTTTTGATTTTTTATGAAAAGAAGTGCAAAAAGTAGAGAAAAAAGGGAATCTTTAACTTTTTGGTATATGTTGTTGGCTTTTTGGTTTTTATAGTGACTTTTTGGCTTTTAGGCTAAAAAGTGATGTTTCCAAACAAGGCCTTAGATTTTTAAATATGATTTTACTGACAAAACTTATTTAAAGCGATTGTATTTTGATGATAATCAAAACCACGATTTTTTCGTTGGAATTATATATAATCCATGTCAGCTTTTCATTTTGAAATCAAATAATGTAAATATGTTTCTGTGTCATTTTGATAGTCAATATTTCAATATTCAGAGTATTAAATATGTATTAAATTTGTCCTGTGATGACTGGGGGCGTCACTAGTTTTGTTTTCCTCGTTTAACCTTGGGTTTGTCTTGTTGAGGGTGTTGGGTTGACTTGGAACCTTGTTAACTAATCGGGTTTGTTGCATTCCGGAGTTTTCCTCAAAAGTTTTGCTTTTGTTTGTCCCAGTGTTGAATTTCTCTGGTTTCAGAGAGTGCGAGGTCAGGTCCGAAGTGCCTAGAATTGAGCTAAGAAAATTCTGGGCTGGAAAGACCAGGGCCGCACATGCGAGGCCTTGGGCCGCACGTGCGGGAGATCAAGCCAAACATGCGGGGAGGTGTGTCATTTTCAGCCTTGCACACGGCATTATTTGCAGGTGCAGGGCGAAGTGTGAATTGGAGGGCCGCACGTGCCAAAAGCAGGCTCCGCATGTGCGAGGCACGTGCCGCACGTGCGAGATGCTGGGCAGTTCGAAACCTCTATTTTTTTTTTCTTTAGGGCTATGTGTGTATCACTTTTAAACCATCTCTCTCTCTCTCTAAAAATCATTTCCTCTCCCTTCTCTCTACATTATGTACACCAAAACACTTAGAATTCTTGATCTCCTTGGATCTATTGCATTTCTAACCCAAGTGCCTTCATCAAAGTTGAAGAGCTCCTCAAGAGCTACATTGTGTACGATGGAGATTGAGTTTTGGCGCCATCAAATTCTAGTGTTTCATCTTCTTTTCTCTTCAAGAACGTGAGGTAGGGACTTCTTTGAGTTATATGTACTTGTTTATGCAAGATTGGTGTTTATTTCGAACCTTTCTTAAAGATATTATAAAGGTTTTGGTTTTTGACTCATGAAATTAGTAGCTTGTTAAAGAAATTCATCTTTTGTTTCATTGGAAGATTCTTTTTGGATAGTTGAAGTGAATTGAAATAAAAATGATGTTTTTAATGAGAGTTTACCAAGAAATTAAGAAATACATTGTTTGGGTGAAAAACCTAGAATTTGGGCCTTTCAAGAGATATAGAGATGTATGTGATTGACATTGTTAATATGCTACTTTGTGGGACAAGGTTTGTAAAGGATGAGAACTCTTTTATTATTATTATGTATAAAATGATGATTTTCATGGGGCATGAGGATTGCAAATGTGGTAAATTGTTGCTCAATGTTGATATAGTCTTGTGAAGGCTAAAATATTAAAAGAAGTAGGAAATAAAGAAATGTGTGATTGACATTGTTAATATGCTATTTTGTGGGCCAAGGTTTGTAAAGGATGAGAACTCTTTTATTATTATTATGTATAAAATGATGATTTTCATGGGGCATGAGGATTGCAAATATGGTAAATTGTTGCTCAATGTTGATATAGTCTTGTGAAGGCTAAAATATTGAAAGAAGTAGGAAATAAAGAAATGTTGTTGTTTATTGATAGAACTAAATGAACATGTGGTTATTTTGTGAAATGGCATGGAAAGGAGAAATGGGGATTTTGATCCTCTTGGGATTATTGTTGAAATATGTGAACATGGGGAAATAAATATTGTTGCATTGGTTTTGTTGCATTGCTTATCCCTTCAATTGGTTATCATATATTTAATTTGAGTTTGGAAACTTGCATTGAGAAGGGAAAGTTTATAATTGAGCTTTTATTGAAATGTTTTGGGGTAAATCCGTTGGTAAGTCCAGATAGGAGGTGTAGATGAAATTGGTTAAGTTGGCCTGACTGTCAGGGGTGAAAGACCAAAAACACGCGCAGAGGAGGTACCACTTCCCTTCCGGTTAGCAACCGGTAAAGTGGATTTTTTGGTAGTGCTTGATAGTCTCCCTCGTTGTCATCGTCAATATTCATCATCAAAATAAAAAACATTTTATGAACAAAAAATACACATCAGCTTAAAAAAGGTTAATTACCCTTTTGGTCCGCAAAATATACGATATGTTTCATTTTGGTCTCCAACATTTTAATTGTTATAATTTGTAAAGGAACAATTTTTAATTTCTTAGATGTCATTATAGTAACAATATTGGAAATTAATTAGCTTAAATAACATTTTCTTTCTTTCACCCAATCTTTATTGAAGCACTACTCCATTTCTTTTGGATGCAGCGTTCGTGAATGGCAAAGTCTGCAACGACCCAAAGCTTGCCACAGCCGATGACTTCTTCTTTTCCGGCCTCTTGACTCCTCAAAACACATCAAACCCAGTTAGGTCGAAGGTCACTCCCGTAAACATTATGCAAATATTAGGTCTCAATACTCTTAGCATTTCCTTAGCTCGTATTAACTTTGCACCTTATGGCCTCAACCCACCCCATACGCACCGTCATGCAACTGAGGTCATTGTGGTCTTGAAATGTACTCTCTACATCGGTTTTGTGACCTCCAACACTGACAACTGTCTCTTCATAAAGGTCTTGTACCCAGGAGATGTTTTTGTGTTCCCACAAGGTCTTATTCACTTTCAATTTAATAATGGAAAGACTAATGAGGTAGCTCTTGCTGCCCTAAGTTGCCAAAATCCGAGAACTATTATTGTTGCTAATGCGATGTTCGGGTCAAATTCAAGGATTTTTTATGATGTTCTTGCTGAGGCATTCCAAGTGGACAAGAAGGTGGTAGACTATCTTCAAGCTCAATTTTGGTGGCCCAACAACTAGAGAAAGAAAGATTAGAGAACCTATGAATCTATTATTTGTTAAACTTTAAATAAATATGATGCAATATAGCATAAATAAGTGGATTGTTATTTTCCTATGATTTTATAATAATCAAGTTTGTTAAATAGTATTCTCTCTCTCTCTCTCTCCTCATAAAATGATGACACTCTCTTGATCTTTTTCTAGGCTCCTTATTGATATAATGATGACACTCTTGATCTTTCTCTAGGCTCCCATTTCAAACTTTTGGTTATGGTAATCTTCCAATTATTTTCGGCCTAGCATTGGCCTGACTCGACTGAACCCTAAAACATATGGGTTGGGGTTAGGCTTGGACTGAGGGATAGGAATTCTGGGCCTCATGGGTGTTTTGAGGCCTGACCCAAAACTTGACCCATAGAACCATTCCAAAAGCCCACATTGGACCCATATACACTAAACAATTGGTTTATTTTTTCACTTTTATCTCCTTTTTTTTTCTTTTTTTTTTTCCTTCTTATGTGAATATATGCATTTTTAGTAAATAATAATTTTAACAATAAAAAAATTAGCATGCCATCTATATGAAACTAGTAATTAAATTTCTATGAGATTAAAGATGCACATAATTCAATAACATAATAATAACTGATGTAATTTTGTATTTCAATAAAAAAAATTAAAAAAGAAAAAGAATTCATGATTGAAAAGTGACTATATTTGTTTTGATGTACTTCAAAATTTTGTATTACAAATCTTTATTTTTTAATACCTTTGGAATTTAATTTTAAAAAAATCAGAATTAAAGCTGAAGGTTGTCAAATTAGACCCATATGAGCTAAGCCTGCCCTGAGACCCATAGGCCCATTTTTTTAAGCACATGAATAGGTTTTGGGTTTTATAAATATAAGATGGGTGGGCCTGAACCCAGCCTATTATTGAGCAGTTAAAGTTTATAGATGTGGGTTGTATTAAAACATTCAACTTAAAACCATTGATTATGAGTGCAGAGACTCTTATCACGCCAATGTTATACTGTTAGTTATTTTCATAAATATTTCAAAGACTAAACAAACGAAATTGATAATGTAAATATGAAATAAATAAGATTGTGATAAAATTATAATCAACTCAAAAAAATAAACGAAAAGTATTTGTTACTTAATACACATGCAAGCTTAACAAGTCATAATCATACGGATGCTCATGAACATGATGAGGACATAAAGTGTGGGTTCCTACACTTTGTTTTCTTTAATCTTATTAAAAGTAGTCAACATAACTACGGTTAATTGATGAAAAATCTAATCCTATGGGGTCATATGTTATTTAATCTAAGGTTTAATCTTTTTTGGTGATAAGGACATGTGTTGAAAAATAGTTGGCGCCGAAAAAGTCTCTGAAAAATTGATAGGAAAAAGTAGCTAGTGGCTGGGGGCAATGAAGTAGACTGATAGATGACATTGGTTAGATGGGTGAATAGATAGGTGATACGTGTACAAATATGTGAACATTTGAATAGATAGGTGACACATGTATAAATATGTGACGTTTTGAATAGATAGACAAATAGCTAAGATTTGAACAGACATGTGTCATTTTGGCCCAAGAAGGTTTTAGTTTGGGCCTATTGGCCCGAAAGTTTCAAGAATGGACCTTTGGCCTCAAAGCATCTACAACAGGCTTTTTAAAAGAGGCATCTTGGCTATTATAGTTACCATTGTCCTATTTTACCTCTTCCAATGGACTAGCTACTACATTAATCATTTTAACAAAAAAAATCCAAGCTAGCTACATATAGAGAGCTTTGGGAGGCTCTTTCAATAGTTTGTGTGGATAAATATGTAAATTAAAAAATAGCATTGGAGTTTCTATACGTGCCCATTTATAAAATTTATTGCATTTTTTTTAAAAAAAACAAAAACTCAAAAATTATAGGATAAATTATAAATATACCCCTTGGCATTTACTTAGAAGACGGATTGTTCCCTATGATTTTAAAAATTACATCTTGTCTCTTTAAGTTTCTAATTACATAACAATTGACCTATTTTATTAGTAAATCGTGAACTCAATTAGCAATTTTTAATGATATCATAAATATATTTTAATCAATTCAAGTAATTTTATTATTGTATAGGAGAGTAGTTAATAATTTTATTTTTTATGACAATTATGTTACATAAAAAATTATGATAATGGTTTATTTATAATTTTCAAAACTATAAGAGTCAATCTGTATTTTAATCAAACCTCAAAAGGTATATTTATAATTTATCCAAAATTATAATTATAATTTACCTAAGAAAAAATGTTAACTCAAAAATTATAGGGTAAATTATAAATACGCTAACCATAGAAGAGAAGACTAGTTAGAAATACATTGTTATTATAAGCTTTGTATTGGAAAATATTAGACGATTTCTTAATGATTCTTTTAATCACATATTGATTAACAGTTCAAAAAATTTTATTATTGTATGGAAGGATAGTTAGAAATTTTATTTTTTCTGTCAACTCTATTAAATGACAAATTCTGATAAAAGAGTATTTGTAATTTTTAGAACCATAAGGAATAATTTATAGTTTAAATAAAACTCAGAGAATATATACATATAATCCTTCAAGTTATGAAAATAATCTCTAACATATACTCATGTATATATTTGCTTTTTTGATATAACTCAAAATGATAATTCTAATTTGCCTAATCAAAGATGTTGAATAACCATTAATCATGGAATTAGACAAGACACCCATAGAAGAGAAGACTCGGTAAAAGACATTATTATAAGCTTTGTATTGAAAAAAATTACAATCACTCTCAATTATATATTATATAGAGAGATAGATGCATATGACATGCTAGCTTTGTCACCTCATTTCAAGCACGTGGGCATAGAAAGGTCAATTTGCTCTCATTGGTGAACAACCTTAGCTCCTTTGGAAATATAATGACGAATTCAAAACTCTCATATTTAATTGAGCGGATTATATAAATATGATTAAAATTATTAGTTTATGAGAGTTATATTTTGTTGTTTGGTTCAATTTTTATTGCTTAAAATAGATTCCAATAGATATTTTGCAACAAAATTGTGGAATTTTATAAGATCAAAAAAATAGGAAAAATTAGTGAAATATCCCTCTCCAACTTTGTGTAGTATGAGATTTTATTAGTTAAAATCCTTCAACATTTTCATAGAGAAAATTTGGCTTAGAGAAATTTTGCCTAACTTAGAGAAATTTTACCCGATTCAGAGAAATTTTGAAATTTCTCTAGTATGATCACAGAGAAATTTTCAAAATTTCTATGTGAAAGTTGAAATTTCTCTGAGTTGAATTTTCTCTGTAGAAATGTTGGGGGACCTTAACTACTATGAAAATATTGTATATCCTTTAGCTTATAAAATCTTAATATCAGGGACCTTAAAAAAAATTTCCCAAATGTCGTTGCACGTATATAGGTCTTTTCAAAAACTCAAAAAAAAAAAATAATAATAATAACTAGCATCAGAATTTTAAAATGTTTTTATTAAATGCACCTTTGGAGACAAAATAATAAGCCCCAAAAGGGTTTATTTGTTAAGACAAAAAATATAGTTTCAAAAAGATAATAATTCATTCAATTTCGTCACTAAAATTAAAATATTGACACTTATACACTTTTAGCAACAAAACATTTTCGTTTCTAAAAATTGGTTTTGTCTCTAAAACCTTAATTTGTTGTAGTGATTTTATTTTTATCAGCAAAAATTGAAATAGTAATAAATAAAAAAATATACAAAGATATCCAAATATTGTAAAACTTTAATCTTTTTCTTTCTTCAACAAATATTTTAATAAGTTCAGATATAAATTATAGGGAAAATTATACCCGTGGTCCCTATATTTTACCTTTTATGTCATTTTGATCCATACACTTTCAATTAATTCAATTTTGACTCTTCATTTTAGATTTTTTGTCAATTTTGTCCAATTGATAATATTGTTAGTGTTTTTTAAAGAAAATTACCACTAAATTACTTTAGGTTAATTGACTGAGTTTAATAAGTTTATAATTTTGCCTTTAAAAATATGACATATGACACTTTTGTGCATATTTTTCATAAAGAGATGTTAAGAGTTGTAATCAATTAGACCAAATTGAGACAAAATTATAAACTCATGATCAAAATCGAGCCAATTGAAATTATAAAAACTAAAATGACACAATGATCAAAAATTACCATCATAATCAAATGATGAAATTATGATGAACTAATCATTTCCTTTCTTCAAGAATATTGCCCATGCTCCTTGCATTTTTTATTTTTTGACTATTTTTGTCTGGGGCTAAAAAGTCTCGTTTCGGATAGGCTTTTTGGCTTTTTTGACTTTTGTGAGAGAAAAAATGAAATGATTATCGGTTGGATGTCATGTTTTGTCTTATTGGACTAAAAAACTTATTTTATCTTTTCGAGGCTAAAAAAGTTAAAAAGCCAAAAAACTTAGCATGCCAAATGAAAGCTAATAATTTATAGATGATTATGCAAATCTAGAACTTCTTCATAGAAACTTATGATAGATGATAGTGCGGTGTGGTTGAAATTGTCCATCTAAAAAATAATAATAATAAAAACTAAAAAATGAAAGAGAAAAGTCAATAGCAGCATTTCAATCAGCAATTAGAAAAAATGAATGAGAAAGAGGTTTAGTTGTTGAAGAACCGTTCGTCCTTGAATTAAATGGTGAATGAGGAAAAATGTAACCCATTGAGGACTTGGTAATTATTCTCTCATTTGCATTGGAAAATACTCAATGAAAAATTCAACTACTCTTATCTATCTATATCTATAAATAGACACACTTTCCATGTTAGATATCTATCTCCTCCTTCAAGCCATTAGCCATAGAAATTTCAATTTTCTTCAATTACAATGAGCACTCACTCTATCCTTGTAACCATAGCCATCATGGCTTTGGCATCGCTTGTATCTGCTTCTGACCCTAGTCCTGTACAGGATTTCTGTGTTGCTATC